TACAAGAGTATATTACAATTCTAAACATATACAAGCCAAACACAGGTGAACCCACATTAATTAAAGACATACTGTCAACTCCAATGCAGTGATTTTGGGTGAGTTCCATATATACAAATATAAAAATAAAAGTAAATACAATTTTTATGGGTAACAATAATAATTACAAAACTGGAATGGAAGGAGAACACAGGAGGATTTCCAATGGGAGAGGGAGGTATGGAAATGATGCAAATATAGTACACATGACTGAAATTTTCAAAAACACAGCAAAATTTAAAATAAAAATATTATGTTATAACCATTAAAAGAGTTGAGAGATCTCAAATTAAAAGCCTTAATGTACCCCAAAATCTTGGAAAATAAAAGAAGACACATACCTAAAATTAGACAAGAGGGGATAATCAAAATCAGTGTTGAAATTATGAAACAGAAATTTTAAAGAACCAACAATACAAAGAATCAATGAAAAAATTAGTTGATTCTTTGAAACAATAAACATGATTGACAAATGTCAAACCTAACTAACAGGCTCCTAAAATGTTGATGCAGCTCCAAATATTCTAACATGGCAGCTGGGCTCAACCCCAGGAAAATGCAGCTCCAAATAATCTAATATTTGAATATTAGATGCAGCTCCAAATATTTGATGCAGCTGAATATTTGATGCAGCTCCAAATATTTGATTCAGCTCCTGAATATTTAATGCAGCTCCAAATATTCTAACATGGCAGTCTGGGCTTAACCCCAGAAAATCCCTCTGCTTTTTGGGAGATCAACGAATCCGAAGCTAAACTTCTCAGCCTACACCTTGGAAAGTTATGGCAAGCACATAACTGCCTCTAAAAGATGTCTGACTTCACAAGCTGGTTACTGTTTCTCTGGTCTGGGAGAGGCAGCCCAGCTGTCTGCTCTCAGATAAACTTCTGCCGCCCATGGAGTTATCTTGTTTGTCACTGCATGCTTCCATATGGTGCCTGAAACCAATGCCTGGGCTTCTTATCACTTGGCTCCTTCTTTTACTGAACAAACTGCTGACCAGGCACTCCTGCCTGTGACACGAACCATTTTAAGAGCCTATGCCAGCTCCCAACATTCACCACATCAGGCCCAAGCTTAGGGTTCCAACTGCTTTCCTTTGTCCTGCTCACCCTCTGATGGGAGTTCTGGTAAGTCCTCTCCTGTGGAGCTGAAGATCTATTTTTCGGCCTTCTCCCTCCCCTGCCTCTCTCTTCCCCATCTGTCTCCTCTCCACCACTCGCTCTTCCTCCTTCCTCTGCCTTGGTGCCTGGAGGTCTTCCCTTTCCTCCTGAAGTGTTCGACTCAGTTTCAAGTCAACTGGTATGCTGTACATCTTCCCACAACATGCTGGGGGTGTCCCTCACTTGTCCTTCAGACACCTTGACAAGTGACTTGAGCCATTTTCTCACTCAGAATGGCATTGTGACAGGGATGGCCTCTCACAGCTTCTGCTTCTCTGGGAAGACCTCACCCTCCCCTTGCTTGTCCTGGACTTGAACTCTCATGGACCTCTCTTGCCCATCTAAGGCAAGGCTCTGACTGCCCCTCACTGGGCCCTTGTCTGTGCCCTCCTTCTCTCCCTTTCTTGTCCTGGGCTTGGAAGTTTCTCTGCTTCAAATTCTCTATGACAGGTGGCTCAGACTCTCCGGGAGCTTTCCACTGGGCCTGATTCAACCCTTTCCTTCTCCCTTCCTTGTCATGGACTTGGAAACTTTTCTGTCTTCTCTCTCTCTCTCTCTCTCTCTCTCTCTCTCTCTCTCTCTCTCTCTCTCTCTCTCTTCTTCTGGTGTCTTTCTTCCTCACTTTGCTAAGGATCTTCTCTCATACTGTTAATTTCAATCTAATTTTAGGTCTCTTTTTTTTTCCGTTCTTTACTCAAGGCTGTCTCTCTTCCCTCTAACTACTTGTGTATTCCCTGCACAGGCAAAATGTTCAGTCTCTCCTTTCCCTCTAGTAATATTTCTTCTGCTTCTGGCCCCAACCACAGACATGCAGGACCCTGAAAACCTTCCCGCTCTTCTAAATTCTTCAGAGAAGTAGAGTTTCTCTCTTTTATATCCCTTTTCTAAGCATGCTTTCTTAACACTTTGAGTTGCCCAGCATCTTGTACTTCTTAACTTTTCTGTAAAGCTTTCTTCTCCCTGCCTTGTGACTGCCAGTCTGCCATGTGTCTGACCTCCATCCAGTCCCTAAAACTGCATGGCCTCGTGTCTTTGACCTAAAGCTTCTGTTTGTGTCCATTCTTAAATTCTTCCCATAATAAGACTGAGAACCCTATAGGGGATGTTCTTTCTCCCTGTATCATCTTGGCAACTACTAAGGGTCCCAGTCCAAGGGGCCTGGAATTTGAACCTCAATCTCCATGGTGCACCAAGTAGTGCTTAGACCATGAATTCCTTTGCACCAAGTAGTACTTAGACCATGTGGTCCCAAGGAAGCTACTTTTATAACCAATGTAAGCATTTTTAAATTTCAGTGAACAGGAGAGTCACTCACACTCCATGATTGGGTGAGACATGTACTTTCACAGCACAGCCCAAAGATATATTCACTGAAAATAGCTTACTTTTTTTTTCCTGGTGGCTTCACAAGTTCCTGTTCCAGCAACAGCTTGTATCTAGGAGTAAAGGAGTCGGAGGATATTCCTTTACATTCAGAGTTGCAATGTGTGGTGAGAGACATGGACTCCCTTCCTTGGTTTGAGACCATGAATTCTTTTGCTTTGCTTTTCTATTTGGGACCTATATATCTGAGGGTACTTTCTCCTGCTATATTAGTATGATCTCATCGTGTGCTTTCTAAAAGTAAAAAGAGATGCTGTCCACATTAAATATGTGAAACGTGAATTCCACAGGGCTTGTATCATGGTGGGGGGTAGGCTCATTTTATCATGGAGCTGAGCTCGTTAAGATAGACGTGGCTTGGTCACTATCATGGCTAGTGATGTCACCAAGAGGGAGGCAACCATGTGATCTGGTCACCATCTTGATTAATGACATCATCAATATGGGCACAGCCACATGGCCTGTTTGCCATCTTGGACAGTAACATTTTCAAAATGGTGGTAACCTGTGTGATGTGGCCAGCAACTTAATTCAACCACATGGAATAATTCAAAATGGTGATATTCAGGAATATTGTTACTATTAGAGTGATATCTTGTATAATTTGCATAAGAAGAATCAAACCAATTCCTCAGGTATCTCTATTTAGAAAAAATAGAGTTACAGTTACTTTGTTAAACACTGGAGCATGTTATAGGGCCTTTCAGTCAGATTGATTGGATTCAGTTAAGATATATCTACTAATTTGAATTTAATTTGAATATATACAAATTTGAAAACTTTTTATCCAACTAGGTAATTATAAAAATATATATAGTTTTACAAAGACTGAAAAAGCTTAAAATTTTTTAAATGTTTCATTTATTATTTTTATTTTATGTGTATGAGTGTTATGCCTGCATGTAGGTAAGTGCACCTATGCTGTGCAATGTCTATGGAGGATAGAAGAGGCTGTTGGATCCCCTAGAACTGGAGTTACGGTCAGTTTTTAGCTGCCACGTGGGTGCTGGGATTCAAACCCAGGTCTTCTGCAAGTCCCAACACTTAAATTTTTTAAACATGGACACTAGTTGAGTTAGCTAGGGGTTCTAGATAAGCAAATGATCATAGCAACCTTAACAACAACAAAAACACAAAATAAAATTAAAAGGAAATATCATTTGTAAATGAATTCATATCAAAATAATTAACATTATTTAATCATTTAGGAACATAACAAGTGAAATATCAGAAGCCATAAAAAATAGCTAACTATAAATTTAAGGAACAACAAATGAGATAAATATTTCATTACTTGGGAGTACTGAACTGCCAATTAGCTGAAGATATGTCTCATTGAATAGGAGGAAATGGGGGTTCAATTTGATAAAAGCACATCATATATATATATAT